CAACCGTGCGAATGGGCATAAAGCCGCATATGACTATAGATTTTAAAGTTGTTTGCTTTATTTATTTGGTACGATATTTGGAAAATTATATGTTTTTGCATCATGAAAAGTGTCTGAACGATTTTTTTACGTTTTATATTAGCCAGACGTTTATCTATATAATGGAATCTTTCTAAGCAATTTTAAGAAACTTCTAGATGTACGATAAATTTGAAAATTTTGCAAGCTTAATATGATCATACAATCATTTCATTATTTACATCTAGTATCTTGATCACGACAATTAGAGTAAAAATTTAATTAATTTTACTTTTAAACTGACTTTTTTTTAATAAATTAAAATGTTAAATCTGTGATTAATTTGTCCCTTGATTTTCTTATTCGGTACATTAATTAATAGTTATGTACTTTGTTTAATAATTATCATTACTAATCAGCTCATTCTTAGTTACATCTTTGCTCAGCTTTAAGCTTTGCTGGATACATACTGGTGTACGATATATTATTATCTTTTCTGGTGGTAGGACCTCTTGTGAGTCCGCACGGGTAGGTACCACCCCCCCGCCTATTTCTGCCGTGAATCAGTAATGCGTTTGGGTTTGAAGGGTGGAGCAGCCGTTCTAACTATGCTGAGACCTTAGAACTTATATATCAAGATTGGTGTCGCATTTACGTTATAGATGTCTATGGGCTCCAGAAAGCACTTATAACCTATGCAATAAAAAAACAAGAGGGATTTCATGAAATTGACGACATTTGAAATATGTTTTGCATTTTCAAATCAGGACACGAATGTTTGGAAAATGAAATGAGGATGTTACCACTGCAAACGGATGAGGGGGAATGTATAGGCCGGACAGAGCCCAATCACGTAAGAACGGTTCTGACCATTACGTTCTTTGAGAGTTCGTGTCTAGTTAACTGATTTATCGAAAAGAATAAACAAATCAGACCGATTCGCCATCCGCATAATTATAATAAACCTACATAACAGTGCTAAAAAGAAACTTCCTACAACTTTTAATGGAAACAATAAAAATACTTGTTTCAAATAGAAAAACGTCTACCGCAGAAATAAATTTAAATAATAATACTGCATTTATGAATAATATTCAAAACGAGAAGTTAATTTATTTAGATTTTTCAATGTTTTTTTTGTATGATCACCGTCCAGCTTGGAACATGAATAATTAAATTTATTTATTATTTTACTGAGTCTAATAATGGTTATTACTTAGTATATTAATTACTGCGTGCATATTACCATCTGTAGTGGTGGCAAGGGTCACAAAGCGTTTGAAAACGTTTTGATACCAACCCGAAATAATAATGAAAGTAATATTGCCCCAAAATAATAATATGAATATGTTGTATTAGGCGATACGTGAACAAATTTATAAATTAATGTGAAATCTTGAAGTTTGCGAAAGTTACGTTAAAATAATATTTTATATAAATATATACTATATCTATACTAATATATAAATCTACAGTGGTTTTTACGGATGTTCCGTTATAACTACTGAACCATGCATCCGATTGACTTGAAACTTGGTATCCATGTAGAAAATACATGTACTTAATGAATAGGCTAATATTTATATGAGTGTTGGACTCCCTAATAATAATGACAATAAATAATAATGTTAATTTTGAATGTCCAGCGAAGCGGCCGAGTACGCCTAGTAATATATAATAATACAGGTCAAACTAATAGAAGAGTTAAAAAAATATATGTCGACCGAATTTTTTGAGTAAAACTGAAATGAAACAAATTGTACAAAACAAAAAAAACTGAAATTAAATTATGTTGTTAGACCATCGAACCATCGTTATTAAGCGGATGTGGTGTAAACAGACCACTCTAAAACTCGTACAGATTTTTTTGTAGAAATTTTTTGAACACTTAAATCGAATAAATAATTCATAGCTGTAGTTGAGTAGAGCAACATTTCGATAGCCTTGAACAAATTCGAGATTGTACTACGTATTTCGTCCTTCATGCTTTTATTTTTATTTATTTTTTATTGCCTTTGTAGGCAGACGAGCATACGGCCCACCTGATGGTGAGTGGTTACCGTCGCCCATGGACTTCAGCAATGCCAAGGGCAGAGCCAAGCCGCTGCCTACCGAAAATTAAATAACGCGTATTATTTGATCCAGGTCGATCGTTATTGCAAGTTTTAAAAAAATCGATCGACGCCTTTGACGTCATTACAAAAAAAACATATTTTAAAATTTAAATTAGTTGTCCGCGATAATTTGCGAAATTTATAAAACGTGTAAAACATGTTATATACGAATTTGATTCGAAATCTTTTGTGCATAAAAGTCACAGTGATTTATTTGTCAATATTTGTAGGTATCATTTACAATAGCCTAGCGTCAGTATATTAAATTAGTTCGTTACATTGTAAGTATGTACATGAAGGTATACAAATATATGTATTTATAATATATGTATTTATATTTACTGCTTAGATTGGTGGACGAGCTCACGGCCCACCTGGTATTAAGTGGTTAGGAGCTCAGAGACATCTACCACGTAAATGCCGCTACCTTGAGATATGAGTTCCATAATGTCCGATTTTACAGTACAATAGCTACCCCATCCTTCAAACTGAATTACATTACTAGTTCACCGTGGAAATCTATTGTGAACATGTGTTAAGTACACATTTCATTAGAAAAATTGGGACCCGCCTGCGTGATTCGAACACTGGTACAGTCGCATCGCTAGATACGAATGCACCGGACGTCTTATCCTTTAGGCCGTGACGACTTCAAACGAATGTTTTGTTTTGAAGTTTGTCTTGAAGAAAGTTTGTTTAGTTTTGAAGTATTTTTGCCCTAACAGATAAAATGGTCGGTGTGCACTTATTGACCGATACGATAGTGTCGGCATTCAAATTAGGCAGGCACGTACTAATTTTTCGGTCAAACCAAAACAAAAGCCGCTATGGATTTTAGTCATCTCCAACATGTTCGGTCTACCGCTGTCAACGTGAAGCCGGAAGTCCAAGCTCAGTTTCCTCCTTAACAAAAAAAACAACAATTCAAAATCTAATATATAGAAGAAAAGTAAAGGTTGTATGTACAGTTGGACGAGCTCATGACCTAGTGCTAACTACCGGCGACCACGGACATCACAACGTGAATGCAACCACTCTTGAGACATTAAATTTTTTATTAGTGGTAAGTACATACGTCTTGTGAGTCCGCGCGGGTAGGTACCACCACCCTGCCTATTTTCGCCGTGAAGCAGTAATGCGTTTCGGTTTGAGAGATGGAGAAACCGCTGTACTATAAAAACTGAGACTTAGAAGTCAGGTCTCAAGGTGGATGGTGGAATTTACTTTGTTGATGCCTATGGGGTCCTGTAACCGCTTAACACCAGATGGGCCGTGAGCTTGTCTATCCACCTAAGCAATAAAAAAGGCCGAAGTCTCAATTTTATGATATAACATCCTGCAACCCGTCAAACCGTAATTCATGACTGCGTCGCGGTAGAAATGGGCTGGGTTGTGGTATCTACCCGTGCGGGCTCAGAAGACGCTCTACCATCAATAATTACGCGTAATAGAATTTTTAATTTTGCAGGCTTTATTTTTACTACGCGATGGCTTAACTCCATCGTGGGAGTTTTTTTTGCGAAATCCTGTTAAGTATGGATTTTCTTAGAAAAATTGCGGGATTTTTACGCCGGAATAATCGCATCGCTCAATAGGAGTACACCGCGTGACTTTGTCTTTAGGCCACTATGACTTGTTTGACGATAGTACAGTAATGCAGCAGCGTAGCAAGCGGGTAGTTCTGCGAGAGCTTGTTCAATGATAAATTATGGAATAGTTCTAGAGCTTTGGAACGAGCGATTATTAATATTTATTAGCTTCAGACGTATGTATGTAACAGAATCTTTGAACATGATTTCGACGCCCTTCAAAACGTCGGATTAACTCGAAATTTGGTATACTTATTAAGGACCGATGACGTTATTTTACAATAAAATCATTTTTTCTTACACTATTTTTAATTCAAATTTACTAAAATTTATTTTCTTTTTTTTTAGTTGGATTCTCTATAAAAGCGTATTTAGTTATTTTTTTTTAAATATTTTTTTTGTGCAAAGTTTACTAGACCTATCAGCATAGGCTTCACTTAACGTACACATTATAGTTGTAGGGACAAAAAAACAAAAGATACAAAATCTAATAATGTCTTACGGGGTTGAATTTTTTATTTTTTTATTGCTTAGATGGGTGGACGAGCTCACAGCCCACTTGGTATTAAGTGGTTACTGGAGCCCATAGACATCTACAACGTAAATGCGCCACCCACCTTGAGATATAAGTTCTAAGGTCTCAGTATAGTTACAACGGCTACCCCACCCTTCAAATCGAAACGCATTACTGCTTCACGGCAGAAATAGGCAGGGCGGTGGTACCTACCCGTGCGGACTCACAAGAGGTCCTACCACCAGTGATTACGCAAATTATAATTTTGCGGGTTTGATTTTTATTGCACGATGTTATTCCTTCACCGTGGAAGTCAATCGTGAACATTTGTTAAGTACGTATTTCATTAGAAAAATTGGTACCCACCTGCGGGATTCGAACACCGATGCATCGCAACAACGAATGCACCGGGACGTCTTATCCTTTAGGCCACGACGACTTACATATATGCATATAAATTTTTACCTACCCTCAAGTGTAAATTAATACCGTTTGCGACTTGTTAATAGTTCTTGAACGCAAATTAATAAAATCAGCAGTATTTAGTTAACATTTTCGACAATGTGTTGCTCAAATAGAATTAAATGAGTATAAAAATCTACAAAGCAATGTTTGTTGACACAGTTAATCTGCGAGCGTTATTCATTATCGAGTTATCGTCTCCTAGTGCGCTAGCCCGGTATAGGCTTAGCTCACATGACTGCGCTGACAATGCCTCGCTTCCATCACTCAATAACAAATATCTTCCTCAAAACAGATGTTTGGGAGCTGATCGTGAGGCAGTCAGTCTCGGCGGCCAGTACGAACGGTCGCACAGAAGATAATATTATTTAATATCGCGTGATTGTTGAACGCGTAAAGTACTAAGTGACACTTATAGATCAGTACTGCAAATAAATTTGCAATATTCATATTGTCATCATGAAATTGCCACCGGCTTTACTGAAACAGGTTAGTTTTGTTTTATGTGAGTTTTTTTTTTTTAAATCAATTTCAAAAACAATCTTCGAAAGGTTTTTCATCATAGGTCATCAGGAGTTATTTGAAAATAGATAACGATATTAGCTACTGATGCTGGTCACTTAACTGAATTTAACTTATTGATTAATCAGTATAGGGTCACAAAGGCTCTATTAAATAAATTTATACTAAATGCGAAGTAAAACTTACTTTCAGTAAAATGTTTTAAGCTGTTTTGGCCTAGAGTATAAAACGCCCGATATACTCGCGTAGGAGCTATGTGACAGTGCCGGTGGTCAAATCCCGCAGACAAGCACAACATTTTTTTCTATTTAAGTTCCTAATCGATGCATGCACATATCGAACGACTTTCACTAAGGACTAATGTGGTGAAATCAAAATCAAACTTGCAAAAATTTCGATTTGCATATTTACTGATATGTAGAGCGTCTTGTGAACCCGCATAGGGACCACCGCTCTGCCGGCGGATTCTCGCCGGATCTTCTCAGCGGGTTGCGATTCCGATCCGGTAATAGATTCATTCGCGAAGCAACTGCGCTTGAGTTGTTAGGTCTCCTTCGGAGGCGCTCGGGCAGCTGTTAACAAATCCCACCCCTCCTTGCTGAGCCTTTGCCCGCCCACCTGTCCTGGTGAAACTAGAAAAGCCTCAAGGCCACCAGTAATCCTTCAATTAAAAAAAAACGTGTTGTGCTTTGAACGGGGTGGGAATAGCCATCATAAATTACTTATGCTGTGGTCGTAAATCTTCTTACACATACATAAATATATAATACAAATGAAGGGGTGAAAGCCTATTTGGTTTAAGCGAAATTTTTGCAACTTTACAAGAGAGCCATTTAAAATTTAAAATTTGGCAACAATATCATACTAAAAAAACTGCTTCATCTATTTGAATGGGGTAAACTTAATTGAAGTTCAATTAAAACATCGATTTGTTGATCCTATTACCAAATTAAACGGACCTTTAATTACAAAGATAAATGTCGCGTTTTAAAACTAAAATAACCACCCTCGAATTACGATGTTTTTATACAAATAATAAATTCATAGCTAATTTTGTATTTGATACAACTAACAAAAAACTTTAATGAAATACGAATACTACAAATATCCAAAGGAATTTTCTTCAGTTTACGCGAGTCGTAGACTTATTTAAAGTTACTGTTATGGTTTTAATTATCATTATCTATACTATAATAATAATAATAATAATATAAAGAGGAAAGATTTGTTTGTTTGTTTCGAATAGGCTTCCAAACTACTGAACCGATTTGAAAAATTCTTTCACTGTTTAGGAGCTACAGTATTTCCGAAGCGAAGCGAGGACGGGTCGCTAGTATTATTATATTTTCGAAGTTTCAGAATAATTCACAGTTTTCTTTGTCACGAAGGATGACGAATTTCAATGAAGTCCAAAAGGACCTTTCTTTATATATCAGGGGTAGCAAATGGTATTCTGTAGAATGCAACGTTACAACATTAAACTCACTTAAGTTTCCAACTTCATACAAACGTTTCGATGACAAATTTGATATGGTTTTTGAGCCTCTTAATTGCCTGCTTCTTGCTAATGAAATCTCCGTCACCATGGACCAAAAACTTTAAATAAAAAAATGTGTGGTGTCGTGGGACACCGGATAGGAAGTTCCTTATTATAAAAATATTAATTTTAAGTTCTATTCGAGGTATAAAGAAAATAATTATTCGGGAATACATGTTTTATTATGATTTTTTTATTGATAAAAAAATACTTTACAAAGCTATCAACTTTATGTTATTCACAATGATTTATAAAAAATATATAATAATAATATACAAAGAAATAGCTATTTATATGAATAATAATAACCGTCATCAGGTAGACTATACATTAGACACTATCTAGCCATTATACTAAGACTATACATAAATAATAAAAATCTTACGTTACGGACGTATTTTCCCGGTTAGGGTACCCCTCCGCATCGTCCCATAAGGAACTTCGTTCCAAAACCTTAACGCAACTGAAGTGACAATTTGCGTAACCATACTTTTGTTTTACGTACAAGTGCGTTTTTGTACAATTTAAAGTAGATAATGTCGTTATTGATAAGACCAACTTGCAATGTCACGTCTCAAAAACATGTCAAATTGCGAATTAACACTATTAATTTCCTGAAAATAAGTGTATGTAGTTTGCAGCACTATTATAATTTATGACGCGCGGTATTGTGTTTACAAAGATAATGCTAGTTACGAAACAAGAATCAATTGTAATAAGCAGAAAGAGATAATTTATGTAACTGTAACAAAAATTACTACTCTTGGATTTATTTTTGGAAGTATTTACTTGTGATTTCACTACGTGTATATTTCGTAAACACGCCATGTAACGCAAAGGCAGCGAACGCTTCCCGCGTTCCATTGACCCCAAGTGTCAGTAAATTTTTAATGCAACTGTATTATAGTCGGGAACAATTCAAAGACACCATGCATTAGATATTATTATAATATACGTAAGTGATAATTACAATTTTTTATACTGGGTACTGTTTTGAAGGGTAGGTTAATATTTTTCCAGTGTAAGTTTGGCTGAGTGTAGGGTGTTACGGCGGGCGATGATATTTATGCTGTGATAACGGCTTCTGGATCTTTAACAACGTGTTTGTACGATTCCATTTTTTTTTTGAAATGTAGCGCCAATTATTATGGTAAAGAAGAAATCCGGAAAAGACATAAATCGCGCTAACGACATTTACATGCTAGATTTGCATAAGTAGAGGCTCGATGTAATATCACTCGTTCGGCAGAAGGTGCCTTTGTCTTTACCGACACCTGCAGCACCCAGAAGATTTTTAAAATTTGATAGTAATCAGTAGAATAAAAAAAATGTAGTGAACGATAAAAAAATGACTGAATTTCGATGATTGATTACGATTTTTCAGAGATTGCGTTTAACTGATAACTTAACGTTTGAGGAAGATCATAATATTTAGGGAAGACGTCAGTGCGTTTTGTTATAATCTAATATAATATGACAAAGTACATTGCGTAAGTTTGTAGAAACCAGAAATGCGGGACAGCATCTATACATAGCTGTGTCCCGCGGATTCCCATTTTTTTTGCTTTTGTAGGCAGAAAACCGTACGGCCCACCTAATAGTGGCTAAGTCGCCTCCCGCCAAGTACTCTCTTGCATCAGTTTTTTTTTATTTCTTAGATAGGTGGACGAGCTCACAGCCCACCTGGTGTTAAGTGGTTACTGGAGCCCATAGACATCTACAACGTAAATGCGCCACCCACCTTGAGATATAAGTTCTAAGGTCTCAACTATAGTCTCAAGTCTCTTACTGCTTCACGGCAGAAATCCTAATCCTAATAAATCCTTTTATTCCTATTATTTATATAATTCACACCCATCAATATAACATTTCACATCCAACCTATTCACAGTCACCTACAGCTACGCTAAGCAATAGTTGCAACACTGTAGGTCACAATGATAGACGTCACTATGGTAACCTTCATAATGGCAGCCATTGCCACGGTTATCGTATTAAAAGTATACATACATATTATATTATTTTGTTAAAGGATACCTTTTCATTAAATTTTTTAACACTTTTTATTAGTCTGATCTACTTATGTAGCGGTGTCTTGTAATATAATTTTTACAAATCTGCACTGAAATTTGTTCACGTATCATGGATCCATAACAATTTTTACAATAACTTTCTTATTCTGACCTAACATCGTGAATAATTTTTACTGGTGGTAGGACCTCTTGGGAGTCCACACGGGTAGGTACCACCACCCCGCCTATTTCCGCCGTGAAGCAATAATGCGTTTCGGTTCGAAGGGTGGGGTAGCCGTTGTAACTATACTGAGACCTTAAAACTTATATCTCGAGGTGGGTGGCGCATTTACGTTGTAGATGTGTATGGGTTCCAGTAACCACTTAACATCAGGTGGGCTGTGAGCTCGTCCATCCGTCTAAGCAATAAAAAAAAAGATGGATAATTTAACTTGTTTTTTTTTAAGTTTTGAAAGTTCATTTCCTATATATCGCTTGCGTACTCGCTATAAAATGTATATAAGTTTGACTGTGTCGATTATTTTTAATTAAAAGTGTAGACTTAACATTCAAATTTTAATGATCATTAAGTTATATTAATTATCATAATGTGACGTCATATTGAACCATTGAAATAAGTTATAATATGATATTATCGAGAATTGACTTGTATTAAAGAGTAGTAGGAATATCTTGCTGTTTTATCGAAAGTTACCGTACCGACGAGGCGATGACGTCACACGTGCGCAACATTTTTTTTATTTTCACAACTACTCCCACTAAGAAATTTAAAACATTCCACATAGAAACAGGGAGACTACGACATGGAGCTCACTGAGTTTTTCGCCGGATCTTCTCAGTGGGTCGCGTTTCCGATCCGGTGGTAGATTCTGTGAAGCACTGCTCTTGCTAGGGCCAGAGTTAGCAACACTCCCNGGCGATGACGTCACACGTGCGCAACATTTTTTTTATTTTCACAACTACTCCCACTAAGAAATTTAAAACATTCCACATAGAAACAGGGAGACTACGACATGGAGCTCACTGAGTTTTTCGCCGGATCTTCTCAGTGGGTCGCGTTTCCGATCCGGTGGTAGATTCTGTGAAGCACTGCTCTTGCTAGGGCCAGAGTTAGCAACACTCCCGGATTGAGCCCCGTGAGCTCACCTACTCGCCCGGTTACGCTGACATAGCCTCTCAAGGTTATCAGCATAGATAGGAAAAAAAAGAAAAAAAAAGACATGGTGTCTTCATTACCAAATCCACAACCTAACACAGATAGATTATTAAAATAGACTCGATTGTTTTTATTTATAACGAGAAAGACACGAGATCTTACAAACCCATATACTTTGTGAAATGAATTTATTCTATTGTATGGTTTTTGAAGTCTGCTTTGGCATATGAGCTGACAATTC